AGTGTACAGTGCTCACTTTATTTATTTTGATTACAAATATTTGCACTTACAATAGAAGGCTCAAATCCTGCGAACACTTATGCAGATGGGTAGTCCCATAGGGTAAGTGGGTCTACTCTCATGCATAAAGTTCTTTTTCCTTTATGCCACTTTTTCTGGTGAGGGTCACGGCAGCAGCCTGGAGAGTAGGAAGGACCACACCTCCTTTTCCTCCACAACAGGTTCTAGTTCCTCATGGGGGATTCTCCAGTGTTCCCAGGCCAGCCGAGAGATATAATCCCTCCAGCGTGTCCTGGGTTGGCCTCGGGGCTTCCGCCCAGTGGGACGTGCCTAGTAGAGTTCCAACGGAAGCCTCCCAAGAGGCATCCTTATCAGGTGCCCGAACCACCTCAACTAGCTCCTCTAGATCTAGAGAATGTAGCATTTCTACTCCGTGGCCATCCCATACAGCCGAGCTCCTCACCCTACCGCAGCGTAAGCCCAGCCACCCTGCAGAGAAAGCGATTGCAGAACTGGGGCACAATCAAACAACAAAAAGAAGAGACACACTCAATGATATGAGTTTATCTTGGGGCCTGATCATCCATCCCTTGAAGTCAACAGAAGCAGGATTAGGATTTAAGAGCAGAGCATTTAAAATTTTATTGGTGGATAACAGCACTCTTAATGATATGGGAAAGTAGTTGTGGGCTAAGTGAATGTTAGAGGAGAGATCTGACTGAAGAATGGATTAGGGGCCTAGTGCACTGGGATTGGAATGGAATTTCAGGCATAGGGGATATATGGGAGGGGTTGCTTTTTAATTTTAAAATGTAGTAAAAAGATTTAACTGTAAAGTATTCCAACTAGTTAAAGATGTAAAGGGGAGAAAGAAGATGTTTACAAGCTAAATACAACACATCACAAATACTCAGATGAAAAAGAAAGTTATGTTTAACACCTCCAACTCCCACTAAACAAACAAACAACAAAAACTTGTGGCTATGTCCCAGCCCCTGCAGCACAAAGAAGAGAAAACCGGCTTGCTTATCAGCCTGACTGACTTTAGAGACCAAAATTCAGAAGACCTCGAGGTATCTGTCCAACTATGGGGATGGGGGACATGGGCCTAACTGAGCTTCAGTTAATTGGGAGTTTTATTTAAATGGAGCACCACTACAATTGCATTTTCTCCTTTATTTACTGAGATCTGTAGTTCTCACGGCTTGCCTGAAAGATAAGTAACTGTTGTCCCCATTGTTTCATAGATTCATAGATTCTAGGACTGGAAGGGACCTCGAGAGGTCATCGAGTCCAGTCCCCTGCCCGCATGGCAGGACCAAATACTGTCTAGACCATCCCTGATAGACATTTATCTAACCTACTCTTAAATATCTCCAGAGATGGAGATTCCACAACCTCCCTAGGCAATTTATTCCAGTGTTTAACCACCCTGACAGTTAGGAACTTTTTCCTAATGTCCAACCTAGACCTCCCTTGCTGCAGTTTAAGCCCATTGCTTCTTGCTCTATCCTCAGAGGCTAAGGTGAACAAGTTTTCTCCCGCCTCCTTATGACACCCTTTTAGATACCTGAAAACTGCTATCATGTCCCCTCTCGGTCTTCTCTTTTCCAAACTAAACAAACCCAATTCTTTCAGCCTTCCTTCATAGGTCATGTTCTCCAGACCTTTAATCATTCTTGTTGCTCTTCTCTGGACCCTTTCCAATTTCTCCACATCTTTCTTGAAATGCGGTGCCCAGAACTGGACACAATACTCCAGCTGAGGCCTAACCAGAGCAGAGTAGAGCGGAAGAATGACTTCACGTGTCTTGCTAACAACACACCTGTTAATACATCCCAGAATCATGTTTGCTTTTTTTGCAACAGCATCACACTGTTGACTCATTGTACAGATGAGGAAACAATCACAAACAAGAAACTTCCCTGAGCTCAAGTAAGATGGCTGTAGAAATGCAAATTGAATTTGGATCTGCTAACAAGGTTTTTTTGGCATTGCTGACAGTGAAAAATCAAAAACTTCTGTAGACAGTCTTCTTTTACAATACATAATTAGTCTGATCAAAAGATCTCATTGTTATAGAGGTTAAAAAAAGCTTTTCTAATTTTTGATATCCTCAAAGTAAGGTCATTATGGCCTTTTAAATCTCTGCTTAAAGATGAAATATAAAAGGTTATACAGTCATTAAACATATTGCTACCTTACATCTCCTTTTGAAATGCATGTGCACTCGTCATCTTAAAAGACCAAGTCACAGAGTCTACATGTTTGGATCATTGTTAAATTTAATTCCAAGGCAACAACCTCTATTTTAATAGGAAGTCCTGAGTATTCCTTCTCCATTGTATATAGTTTAAAGAAACTGTAACTCAGTTACTTTCCTAAATGGTCTCCATCTCTTAGGGCCTCACCTGCACTACAGATTTAAAAAAAACTGGAATTCCAAATCCTACAAATGTATGTGCTTAACATTACTAGCATGAGTAGTTCCATTAAAAGCAATGAACTTGTTTAAGCATCTGCAGGATTGAGGCATACGTTTTTTAACCAAGTTGTAATACTGCTGCCTTCACAAACAGTGTATGTCCACATAAAACATGGACAGATAATTCCTAGTAGTGCAAGTATCTGTGTTTTCACCCTGCTTGCCATAAAACATTAACATTATTATTGAGCTATATAACCATGTTCCCACACATTGGTGGTTTTAGTAGAAGTAACTATTTAATCATCCCCATCTGCAATGCATCCATATAAACAGCTGTGCAGCTTAGTGCACAGACCAATACATTTGACAGTTATTCCTGTATCTGAAGGAATCAAGCAAAGCTACATTGTTTAAAAACCCAACAAACTTTAAACACAGTCAGAGCCCTAGAACAGTTGCACCAACCTTCCCTCACCCATCAAAGGACAATGTTACAATTCCTATTGCCTCCCCCAGCTCCCCCACCAACCTCATTCAGCCCACATCCACCTCCACTCCAGTTAATGGCGGAGGGGAAGTCCATTACATTACTGTGTGGAACTGCTGACTCAAGCAAACTGTGATCATGCTGTTGCTGGCACAGAGGTGCCCGAGGCGAAGCAACAGGGGTTCGTTGCCCGGCGTGCTTCGCGCCAATAAACACACCAGGGTGGAGAAGCAAACAAAGTTTATTTGAGATCTCAAAGCGGTGCTAGGAGACAGGCACGTCTCAAATCGAGCACAGTAACAGAAACAGTTTTTTTTCCTTTATACCTTTACAGTCAAGCCTCACCCCCCCCTTCCCCCGCTACCCCTCCCTTCCCTCCCCCCATTCCTCTCTCTCTCTACCCCTCCCATCCCTGGTAACAATTACTAAGCAAATAGCAATTACATTTAAGCAGTTAGTTTATGTTGGCAGCTATAAGTTCAGCTCGTTAGTAACTTCTTGAACTACTATCTTGTCCCGTTCCTTTGATTTATTATCTTTCCTTCGGCCAGAGGTATGCAGGCCTCATTATACTGCAAAAGGGGGTTTACCACTGATATCAAGCTGCTTACACATTTCACTTGCACCTGGCTTTTGAGGTCGATTAGAATTTAAACATGGAAGGAGTTTGGTTCAGGCCTAGTGCAGGAAGGCTTCATTGACACTTGTGATTTTCCACCCTCCTGAGTGACCTGGGGTGATGGTGATGCCTGGTGACGTCAACAATGCCAAAACCTAGGTACATTTCACATAGTTATTTTGGTAGCATAGAATGTGCCTTAGTAAGGTAAAGATAACTGAATAGTCTTGAATGAATCCTTACTTAGTTTGAAGCGGTTCAACAGCAGTAAGAGCAAAACAGAGGTAGAGAGGGGGGGGGGGGGAAACAAGTTTGTTTTTAAAAAGTCCTCAACTGGGTTCCAGTTTTCTTATTCAGGCCTAAGCTTAGTATTTATCTATCTACTAATTTATGTATGAGTGTAGGTGAGGCCATAAGAAACATGCCCCCTTGTACCCACAAATGAGCCAGTTAGATAGTACAGTGTTATGCAGGGCATTCACAAAATCTGAGGGCATTTCTGAAAACCATGTTTCTTGTTTAAAGAATGGACCTTAAATATTCTTTTGATGATCTGACTGGCAGCCTCTCTGGGACTCCACACTTTGGCTGGTGAGAACATCTACTTCAAAAGTTCCAAACCTGCTAAAAGTGAAGGTTACTTACTGTCGGGGACAAGTTTAAAACATTTCAAGCAGAACTGTTAAAATTCATTTAAAACAATATTAAAAAAAAACCCCACATGTAATCCTGCTTCATGCCCTCTATTCCTTTACAGAATATCATGATTGCCTCTGCTGGACATCTTGTTCTTCCTTCAATCCCTGACCCGGGTCTCCTCTTCTTATCCCAGCATGACAGCTCAGATTATTTTTATTTCTGCAACTGTTCAGATTTAAAATTTTTATTAAAGTTAGTTTAAAATTGAATATACACAAGTTAAGAGGGAAGGTACTGTACATCTGGGGTCTGGCTTGAGTTATGCGGGATCAAAGGTATCGGTTGCAAAGATGAAGAGATACAAACATATCACATAATCAGCATAGAGCCAGATTGGGGTGCGAGAGTTTTTAAAGCGTCAGGGGATAAGTGGGCTCCAGTATGCCACCCATGGAATGTATAAAGACTCAAGTCAATATCGGTGTAGCGAATAAGTACATGGGTGGGTGCTACTACTCTCCCTGCAATCCGAGGAGAGCCTGGCCGCCTGGTGGTGGGGGAATTAACAGGGGTAAACGACACCGGCTTTAAGATCAGCAGGGGTACCGCGTGGTCACACAGACGGGGGGGGGCAGAGAGAAGCGATGTGCATCGGGGGCTCAGCACCAACTCATCTCGCGGCCCCAAGAAGAGCGCAGGGCCGCCCGAGAGGCCCAGCGCGGCTCCCCCTCCAGCTCCCGGGCTAGTAGCACAAACTGCTCCGTGGCAGAATTTCCTCTCTAGGTTGCAGCTTGTGCCACTACCCCGGCCCCTCTCCGCGGGCCGCTCCCGGGCTCGCTCTGCTCCGCCTGCTGGGGGAGGCTCTGTCCTTCTCACGCTGCGCCCAGCCACGTTTCCGGCTCGCTGGGCCCCTCTCGCCGGCAGCCGGCCCCGGGTGCGGAGCGGAGGGGGCGGGACGGAGCCGCTTCTCCTGCCGGGTGAGGGTGGCCGCTCAGGGTCGCTGCCTCGGTGCAGCGCGGCGGCTGCTGCGAGAGCCCGGCTCGGGAGGCGGCGGCGGCAGGTAACCCCGGCGGGGTAGGAGAGCGCGGCGGGCGGCCCGCGGGGGCAGGCGCTGGACCAGGGGCCCTGGGCTCAGCCCCAGTGAGGGTCATTGCCCGCGCCCCTCCCCCGCCGCGGGAGCTCCGGGGATAAACTTTGTGGCTGTGAGTTCCCCGTTCCCGTGGGGCTGGCCCGGCGCCACGTGCCCCGCTCCGCGGCCCCAGTCCCCCAGGGGCCGGCGGGATTGGCTGCCCTGGCTCAGGGAGGTGGGGCTGGAAGGTTCCCGCACCGCAGCAGCAGCCCTGTGCCCCTTGCCCGCAGCGGGGGAGACGCTTCTCAGGCCTCGCTGCTTCTTGGGCGCCTCTCTCTCTCACGTCTAGGTGTGTGTGCCCGCTGGGCGCTGCGCAGACACAAAGGCAGGCCTGGCCCCCGGGAGGGGGGGCGTTGAGGCTGCCTCGCTTCTTCACCCCCTTCTTTTAGACTTCCCTCGTAAAGATAGTCACAACTGGACAGGCCTGAGTGGGCTGGGGCACCTGACTCCCTAGTGATGGAACTAGGGGGTTGCACACTTTGTAGCTTCTGCACATACCAGGGGTTCCTTGTGTCCCTTCATTTCCCCCTACAAGGTTCATGTGTGCCACCCTTCCATCCCCCGCTATGTCATGGACTCCCTGCTCCACCGCTTCACCCCCTGCCCCAGCTCTGTGTGGCCCCTATTTCATCTTCCCCATATCAGCATCCCCCATTTTTCTCCAACGCCAGGGTCTCTGTGTGCCCTCTGTCCCCTCATTTGCCCCTTCCCCCTATGTCAGTGGCTCTTTGTGTGCCCCCATTCCCTCTCATGCCAGGACTCTTCATTCCTCCTCCCATAGCAGGGGCTCTGTGTGCACTCCCTATTCCTTCATTCTGATTGGATATGGCATTCAAAACTTATCACTTTACACACTAACAGAGAAATGCCATCATGCTGAATGGAGGACCTCACTACACTCACCCAATGAAAGAACACATTTATGTTACATATGTTCTGTCCTTTAGGAAGTTTAGAAATGGGAACATGACAGGAACCACAGAGCACCTGGTCTTCACACAAAAAAGTTTTGATTAGTTGTTAGTTTGTTTGTTGCAAAAGTCATTTATACTCAAGCAAACAAAAACTCACTGATATTTGTTCCATTCACACTGACTCAGAGGAAAACATTCCAAGCTCTAAACTTCATAGATGGTAAACTTGAGCGAGAGAAGGTTCCTGCTTCTTTGCAAGTTGCTGCTATAACAGGTTTATTATGTAATTATAGTTTATTATTATTTATATGTCAGTAGCACCCAGAATGTGTTAGGCATTATCTACAAATATAGGGAAGACAAATATAGTTGCAGCCCTGAGGAGCTCAATCCTGCAAACGTGCCCATGCTTGACTTTATGCATGTGAACAGTCCCGTTGCAGTTAAGTTTGTAAAAGGCCCAAGGCCTCGTGAGAGGCACTTAATAGCAATTGAAATAAATATCTTAAATGTTTATTGATGTCAATGAGAGTTTTCACTGAGTAAGGTGTGTGAACTAAGACCCTTAGCTAAAGATAATATGCATGCTTGCCATATGGTACTTTTCATTCATAATTTTCAAAACACTTAGCAAACTATCTTTATCCCAGTTTAACAAATTTTTGTCAGGGCATATAATGTACTTACTGTAAAATAGTTTACATTGTTCACTTGTGACCCTAACAAAAATATTCTTTAACAAAAATGGATTTTTAGTTTTTTGAGATCTTTAATTAAGTTTTTTCCCTTTTACAATTATAGGTTCAATATGCTATTAAATGCTGACCAAGTAAACCTAATCGGACAAGTGTTTGAATCCTATGTTTTGGAACATCACAGGAATGACATCTTGCATATATTAAGGGAAAGAGATGATGAGGGACATTACCCAGTCATTGTTGATGCCCTCACCCTTTTTGAGACCAACATGGAAATTGGAGAATATTTCAATGCATTTCCAAATGAAGTGCTCCCTATTTTTGATAATGCATTGCGCAGGGCAGCCATGACAGCTCTGCAATCTGCTTCCCAGACTCATGATTTTAGCATTAAGCAGAATCTTCATGCCAGAATATCAGGTGAGTCATTGAGGTGTGTAATTCCATGAGATGTTGTGGATTAATGTTTTATTGACAAAGGGTAGTATTCACAAGAGAATTGGGTGCTGCCTAACCCTGTAGGCACCTAAAGTTCCTAAAGACTGAGCAATCCACTGGCTAGGGCACCTGGGAGGTCAGAGACCCAGGTTCCATTCTCCCTGCTTCCCATCAGGCAGAGCGGGGATTTGAACCTAGATCCACACATCCTGGATGAGTGCCATAACCAATGGGCCAAAAGATCATAAGGGGGCACCAGCACTACTTGCTCTTCCTCAGTTTTTCACGAAAAAGGATGTAGGTGCCTATCTCCAGGAGAGGGTTCCCAGCTGTGGATCCCAAACAAAGATCATGCCTCCCTCTGGCCAAGAGTTAGGCACCTAATTCCCTTTGAGGGGTGCAACTTAGGCCACATCAATATAACTCTCCCCATATATTATATAAGGAGCCCTTGGCACCTAATTCAGGGTTTTGAATTCCACTGGGCAACAGAGCAATGTAATGCTGAGCATTGCAGTGCCTTAATCTTCCTTGTACATCCCACCTTAAAAGTTCCAGTATACTCTATTTACCAGGAACTAGTGCAGTGCCTGGTGGGAGAAATTACTGTCCTCTGTGTTTTTATTTTGGCAATTTCGATATGTAAGGAACAATAAGGAGTTTAAGTATATTAGAAACAAAAAAAATCCTAGCAATGAAATAAATCTATACTAGATGCAGATGGCAAAATTGTTAATGATACAGAAAAGGCAGATGTGTTCAATAAATATTTCTGTTCTGTATTTGAAAAGAAGCAGGATGATGTGCTTTGTTCAAAGGAAAATGATAAATACTTTCCAGACCACTGATAAGTATGGAGGATGTTAAACAACATCTTCTAGGGATAAACATTTTTAAAAGAGTAGACCTGGATAGCTTCCACCAAGAGACCTAAAAGATCTGGCTGAGGAGATCTCTTGCCTGCTGATGTTCATTTTTAATAATTCTTGGAATACCAGGGAAATTCCAAAAGACTGGAAGCGTACTAATGTTGTGCCAATATTCAAAAAACTTAAGTGGGATGACCTGGAGAACTATAGGCTGGTTAGCCTGACAACAATCCGGGGGAAAATAATGGAAAAGCTGAAATGGGATATTATTAAAAAATTAAAAGCTAGGAATATAATTAATGCCAGTTAACATGGTTTTACGGAAAATAGTCTTGTCAAACAAACCTGATTTCATTCTTGGATGAGATTACTAATTTGATTGATAAAGGTAACTACATAGTTGTAATATACTTTATATTTCTGTAAGGTGATTGACTTAATATTTATGACATTATGATTAAAAATTAGCACTATAAAATGTCAATAGAACACAAGTTAAATGATTATGAACTGGCTAAGTGACAGATCTCAGTAGTTGTTAACAGGGAAACATCATCGAATGGGGGTGTTTCTAGTGAGCTTCTGTAGGGATCAGTATGAGGCTTGACATGGTTTGACATTTTCATCAATGATCTGTAAATAAACATAAAATCATTGCTGATGAAATTTGCAGATGACAGGAAGATTGACAGGATGGTGAATAATGGTGGGAACAGGCAGGGCCGGCTCCAGGCACCAGCCGACCAAGCACGTGCTTGGGGCGGCACCTTGGAAGGGGCGGCCAATCTTGGGGTGGTGGGGGGCACTCAGGGTTTTTTGTTTTTTTGGTTCGGTGGGGCGGCGCTCGAGGTTTTTTGTTTGTTTGTTTGTTTGTGTTTCAGCGGTGCAGCACTGGGGGGTTGGGGGGCAAGGGCTGGCACGGCGCTCGGGGGGGCGGGGGCTTCGGCGGCACAGCGCTGGGGGGGCGGAGGGTGGCGCGGCGCTCGGGGGTGGGGCGGGGGGGTGGGGGGGGGGGGGGGGCACGGGGGGGGGGGGGGCAGGGGTTTCGGTGGTGCGGCGCTCTCTTTTTTTGCCTGGGGCGGCAAAAAAGTTAGAGCCGGCCCTGGGAACAGGGCAGTGCAGAGTGATCCGTATGCTGAGCCCATTCAAACAAAATGCATTTTAATACAGCCAAAGGCAAAGTTACACATCTCAGAACAAGGAATACAGGCCATAACTACAGTGTGGGGGATTGTATCCTGGAAAGGAGTGACTCTGAAAAGGATTTAGTGGACTTACTGAACATGAGCTCCCAGTGTGATGCTGTGGCAAAAAAGACTAATGCAATCCTTGGATGTGTAAACAGAGAAATAGCGAGTAGGAATCGGGAGGTAATTTTACCTCCATATACAAAAATGATGCAACTGATATTGGAATACTCTCTACAGTTCTAGTGTCCACATTTTAAAAACGATGTTGAAAAACTGGAGAAGGGTGTAGAAAAGAGCCACAAAAATTACATGAGGGCTGGAGAAAATGCCTAGCAGTGAGTAACTTAGAGTTCGGTCTGTTTAGTGTAGCTACAAGAAGCTTGAGAGATGACTTAATTATGGTGTATAAGTTCCTTCACGGGGAGAAAACACTAGGTACTAAAGGGTTCTTTAACAGAGAAAGGAATAACAACAATCAGTAGCTGGAAGCTGAAGCCAGACAAATTCAAATTGGAAATAAATTTTTACCAGTGAGGATAATTAACCATTGGAGCAAACTACCAATGGAATTGGTGAATTCTCCATCTCCTGATGTCTTCAGATCAAGAGTCGACACCTTTCTGGAAGATATGCCTTAGCCAAACACAAGTTATGCTTTAGTCAAACACAAGTTATTGGGCTCAATGCCAGGGTAATTGGAGGAAATGTAATGTCCTGTGAGCTACAGGAGGTCAGACTAGATGATCTAATAATCCCTTCTGGCCTTAAACTCTGTGACTCTATGAGAGTCAACAGAGAACTGCTATTTGTCTAAGAAAAGCAGAAAATGTAGCCCTCATTAACAAAGCCAAAGAAACCCCCAACACAATTTGCAACAAACCAGTGCTGCCTCTATAAAGCCCTGCATGAGAGAATAGAAAACTTTCATGAGATAAAAGGCTTGGTTACAATTAAAGGAGCATTATTTGAAATTCTCAAGACCAGTGCAGAGAAAGAGTTGTTATAATGACTGTTTTTTATTTGTATTACAGTTATAATATTAAATTTGATTTAGGTAAAATTATATTAATATATATAAAAATATCTTAGAAAAAAATTACATTACTTGAACTACTGTATTGTAAAGACAAATGTACTGCATCAAATCCAATATTTTCTACAACAGCTAGTAAAATGGAGGTGGGGATGGAAACTGAGGAACAGATGAGGGTGTAATGATAATCTAAGGTCTTAATGCGTGAAGCTCATTGCAGGATCAGGGCTTAAACCAAAACGTGTGTATTTATTTGTAGTACTGGGACAGGTGAGTCTAGGCCAACCCATAATTAAAGTCCTGCCCCCTCAATTGAAAGTGAGGAAGCACTAAGTCCAGGCTGAAATTGATTGCTGGGAACAACAAAGGAGAAAACAGATCAGGAATGAGGATAAAGGTTGAAAATCAGGGTTCCAGAGAGGGACACCAAGCAGAGAACCCTGAACAGCGCTCACGGCTACTGCTCCTCGAAGGTGTCCGAGGAGTCAGTGGATGCTGCCCAGAGGAGCTGTGCCCAAAGGCATGAGCAGACAAGGGACTAGTAATATACCCTACAGTTGCAGAGCACCCTCCTGTCTAGTAACATCCTCCTGGTGTGATGGATGGCCATCTTGGCCAGTGCCAGGAGGGAGTTGACAAGAAGGTCCCACAACATTGTGGGACCACAGATGAAGTATGCAAACAGCAGGGAGGTGCAGGGAAAAGTGCAACCAAACCTCAGTAGGAGGTTCTGGAGGAGCCAGAAGAGGGGCTGCAACCTGATGCACTCTGTAGATGTGCACCAGAGTCTCCCTCTTACCGCAGAAGGGACAGATATTTGGGGAGTTTGTAAACTGTGCCAGGTACATGCCCAGGGTCATGGCTCCATGGAAGAGCTTCCAACTAATATCCCCAGCGGGTCGTAGAACCAGAGTGGAGTACAGACTGGCTTGCCAGAGTTCCTCTCCCTCCACAGGCAGCAACAGGTCTTGTCATTTGGTGAGGAGGGAGACACAAGGGTGAGGAAGTGGATGGTATGAAGAACGAGTGCATACAGATGTTTTCTGGGCATGTCTTGGAGGCAAACTGACTAAATGTCATTCAGGCAACTCAGGTGGCCTCAGGGGTTACTGAGGCCACCTGAGTTGGGGAAGCTCGCAGGCCCGATGATGAGTTCTGAAGGGCCAGGAGCAAGGGGTGGGCAGGGAGCACCATCCTGCAGGACCTTCTTGAGGAAAGTGAGAGAAGCAAGAGGCAAAGCTGTCCTCGCCTACTGCAACATATGACCGTGGACACACAGGGTGGGCAGCCCCACCTGCTGGCCAAGTACCGCAAGGTCCACCCAGTCCTTCAGATCATAGTCCAGAAGGTCTCTGATTCTGGTGTTACCAACCAGGACTGTCCTCTGACACCAATCAAGACTCCATCCCCTGCACACTTAGATGGGGGTTATGTAGCAGGGGTTCTGTGAGCAGGTCCTCCACCTCAGTGGCACTATGGACCTGGTTGCTCACCCTAGCTTCCAGGTCCTGAGGAGGTCCTGGTAAAAGACTGGCAGCTCAGAGAGGTCTTAGGGGAGAAAGGTACATGCCAGGATAGAGCAGTGGACCCACACCCCACTAGATGACATGGTGCGTGGGTGAAAGGGAGACTGCCTGCCACCTGTCCTCAACCATCAGACCAGAGCTCTTAACCCAGTTGTCTCAGGCAGAGGAGACTGCTGAATAGATGGTTTGACAAACCTCCACCCACAACAGGGCTTTCAGGTCCTGGGTCACAAGGAGCACGTTGTCAGCATACGCCAAAAGACCCACCCACAGGTCTGTCTCACAAAGCACCAACCCCATCATCCTGTTGCAGAGGAGGCAGAGGAAGGGCTCAGTAATGATGGTATAGACCTGGTCAGACATG